GGCTGATCCGGAATAGGCAAGGGCCTGAGAAGACCTAAGGGCGCGCGTGTAGTAGACTTATTTCTCTGGCACACTTTACAACTGCGGACATACTCTATGCAATCATTCTTCATCCCTGGCCATGTGTACGCACGCATCAGATTGGCTAACGTCTTTTGCCAATCGAAGTGTCCCTCAGTATCGTGACATTCCCCTAGAATTAGACTACGAATCTCTTCGCTGTTGGGAACGCACAGGYGGTCAAACACATTAGTCTTCTCAAACAGCCATCCGTCAGTAGTGCGGTAATCTGGTTCGATCTCTGGGGTCTCTCTAACTATCTTTAGGAGGTCGGCATAGATAGGGTCCTGCGTATACGCTTGTTTCACTTTCTTCTGCAGGTCTCTCCCTATATCCAGATAATGTACTACAACTCCAAAGTAGTCTGATCTCCTACTTAGAGCATCCGCCACTACATTGTACTTGCCCTATACTGGCTTGAGCTCAAAGTCGAATTGGTCTATCTCTGCGGCCCACCTAGACAACTTAGGTGTCATCTTGGCCTGGGTCTTTAGCCATCTAAGCGTTTCATGGTCCGAATGGACTTTGAAGTGCCTCCCAAGCAGGTAATGATTCCAATGGTCTAAAGCCTGCCTGAGAGCGTAGAGTTCTCTCTTGTACGCGTAGGTAGCAACCTTCTCACAGGGCATCGTCGCTGACATGAACTCTACGGGCCTATAACCATTGCCGTCGTCGTGCTGCAACACGGCGTCTATCCCATACTGACTCGCGTCCGTGGTGACGACAAATGGCAAAGACGGATCTGCAACTTTGAGGACAGGATATTCTATTAACGCGCGCTTTAGCTTCTTGAATGCAGACGTACAGTCTTTGTCCCATTGCCAGATTGCCTCTTTCTTTAGCAACCTGCGCAAGGGAGCGGCGATAGTAGAGAAGTTTCTTACGAACTTCCTATAGTAGTTAGCTAAGCCTAGGAACGACCGCAACTCTGTCAATGTGCGGGGCGTCGGCCAATCTCTGATCGCCGCGATCTTCCTGTCCTCTGGCTTAAAGCCATCTTCGTCCAACACGTGGCCCAAGTATAAGACTTGCGTCTTGGCCCACTCGCACTTCTTCGCGTTGATCTTGAAGTTAACCTCTCTAAGCTTCTCCAAGACTTGCCTCAGATGACCCTGATATTCCTGGAGGATCTTACTAAAGACTTGGATATCATCTAAGTAGATTACTACAAATTTATCTAACCATGGTCTAAACAGGTCATTCATACATCGCTGAAAAGTAGCTGGCGCGTTRGTTAGTCCAAAGGGCATCACTATGAACTCATAATGCCCGTATCTCGTCYGGAACGCAGTCTTGTACTGGTCATCAGGATGGACCTCTATCTGATGATACCCGAATTTTAAGTTTATCTTAGAGATATACTTGCAACCCTGCACCCGATCTAAAAGATCGTCTATCCTGGGCAGCGGCTCAGCATTCTTTACGGTGATCGCATTTAATCCCCTATAGTCTATACACATTCTCAGCTCTCCTTCCTTTTTGGGAACAAACAAAACGGGTGCTCCAAGAGGAGATGAACTGGGCCTGATCCAACCTTTCTCAAGGAGCTCGTCTAACTGTTTGCGAAACTCCTCTAACTCTCTAGGGGACATACTGTAGACTACACCCTTAGGAGTTCTACTGCCAGGTTCTATCTCTATCCGGTGCTGGATGGGTCGCAACACTACTCCTCTTGGCGACTCAGTCACGTCTTTGAATTCTTCCAGCAGCTTGGCAATTGTTCGATCTGTAGAACTATCCTTTTCCTCGGCCTCAGTCACAGGTCTAATATTAACTACAAAGACCTGTTCCTCTAACTGCTCCTTTTTTACTAATCGCGTGAACGCGGGAGCACTGAGACAGCAATGTGCCAAGGTATTGTCTACACCAGACACATAGAACAAGCGGGCAGTCTTAGCCTCACCTGACGGACTAGGGCGCCTACACTCATGCTCTCTCAACTGGAGTGTAGCCCCTGCTGCCTCTCCCCAATCCATTCCTAACACTACATCGAAAGGAAGGTCATCTTGCACGAGGAGAGTCAGGGAATGGAGAACTTTCTCCACCTTCCCATCCTTTTCTAGGCGAAAGTACGCCTCGACTCCCTCTATGTAGTCCTCAACGCGCATCGTGCGGTTGGCTGCGAGGACACTGACTATGGGGTCTACTAGCTTTTGGACCTTTAGTCCTAGCCTCAGCTTCTTCGGCGCCCTACGGATAATGTAACTACGGGTAGCTCCTGAATCTATAAGGGCCCCTACCCTACTCCTAAACAGCTCTACATCTACCAAAATCACTTGTCCTTTACTTTCCTTCTTCATTTTCGCCCACGCTGGCATACTCTGCTTTAATTCTTCTGCCACACCTGTGAGGGACGTGCCTAAAGAGACGCTAACACAAGCAGTCTCTGGACAGCTATCTAGGCACGGGCCTGCAACCTCTACCATAAGCTCATGTGGGTTGGGAATGTCCTGTTCGCGCGCGCTCGCTTCTCCACATGGCCTTGAAGTAGGGGCAGTTGCAACCCCTACTGGCGGCAGCCTTTTGACTGCTGGGCAGCCCAACGGGGCTGCCTATACTTTGGACAAAATTTGATAACGTGGGCCGGGTCACCACAGAATACGCACTGACCCATGTTCACGCATTCCTGCCATAAGCGCTGCTCCAAGCCCACATCTTCTCAGGGCCTGCCCTGCGGCAAGCCTGGGTGCCATCCTCCTTGAGGCGCCCTTCCACCTCCTCGTTGTGGGGACCGGTTACCCTGGCGATTTAACGGGGGACCTTGACCCCTACCTCCCGCTTGGCGGTTTCCCTGTCCGCGAACCCCCTGTGCGCCCGGTCCTCGGCCTCCCATGGCCTGGCSCCTTTGGCCCTGGCCTCMTCCTCTACCTTGCGGYCTCCCTCCGGCCGCGACAGCAGCGTAAGAMCTCCCCTGCCCCACACTACTGCCATCATCTTCGAGGCCCCACTCAATCTGATCATACGGGACCTCATCAGTATCACCTTCCTCTAACGTCAGGATCATRTGATCCTTGGCCTTTACTTGGCCTGAGATAGTACGATTCTTCCACTTTTTCCCCTTCTCCTGGTCCTTATGCCAGAAAGTTGTAAGCGTCATAGACTTTGACTCATACAGGACCACCTCCCTACTCAATTGATCATATGTGATGTCGGCCTGCTGAGACTTGTCAAAGAAAYGCCCGCGTAGGGCCTCTGGGATGGCACGATAAAACAACTTCACCAACTGGGGCTCGGTGACCCCGTGGTGAGGGACGGCTACCAAGTCGTCCATAGTGCTCTTGAGTACCTTAGCACTCCTCCACTGCCGCTAGTGGATCGTTTGAAGCTTGTCAGAAACTCTTATGCCTCTCGTTGGGTCAGCGAAACGCTCCTTGAGGAGCCTGAGGAATTGGGAAAGAGGGGTAACTTTAGAATATGCAACCAGGTTGTTTTCACAACCAGCTGTACGCGCGAGAGACCTAGCGAAGTTAGCCGCTTCGTCCTTCAGGGCCTGGAAGGCCACGAGGACTTGCTCCTCCATCAGGATATGATGTAAATACATGTAGCTATTGACACTGGCCTCCCAGTTGTCAAAGTTCTCGTCCTTCTTCCCCCCGTACGCGTCTGGGAACTTAAGTTTCACAAGGTCCTTACGGGGTCTGACCTCTCCCTCTACAGCGGCTACTGCTTTGGCACCCTGAATGGCGCCCTCACAAAACTTCCCTACATTATCTCTCAATTGCTTCACTTCGCCCCCAATATGGGTGACGAACTCGCGCGCGAAATCTCTAAACCCTGACCGCATGGCACTCCATGCTACATCCTGGCTCCAGCTTGTCTGGCGCTCCTCCATCCAAGCCTTGCTCAACACCTCCAGATACCCCAGTACTTTTTCCCATTTGGGCTTATCGTCTGGTTGGGACAGCACCTCTGCTCTACACTCCTGCACCTTTGCCACYTCTGCGGTCATCTTGTTCACTTCCTCTATCCTCTTCTTCTTCTCTCTCTTCATCCTCAACTTCCATGCTAACTTTTGTTCCTCCTCCCTCTCTCTTCGTTCCATCGGGTCTGTCATGGCTGCTAGCTCGGCGACCAGCGCAGCCTTCTCATCCTTAGTTACATAGGACTCCCCCTCCTCGTGTTCTCCCAACGATAAATTAGCGACCCACTCGCTGATCTTCTTCTCCAACCCTGTATCTGTCTACCTCGTCATGGTGCCACTACTACTCCCTTCTCCACTCTCAATCCTCATCCTCTCTTTCTCTTCTTTTGCTGCCGCTTCTGCTTCAGCAGCTTTTCTTCTTTCTTCCTCCTCTTGTTGTACTWTCTTCATCTCCTCCTCCAATCTCTTCATCTTCGCCGCCTGCTCGTCTGCGATAGCCTTTAGCTTGGCTTGCTTTTCACGCTCTTTCCTCTCCTTACTCTCTCTGCCTAAGGCGGTCATCTTTTCTTGTTGCTCAGTGGTGTAGGGGCTCGTCTCCTTCCCACTACGGGTCTCAACCATGGTGATAAGTGTACAACCGGGTTAGTGGTTCCAAACCTCACCACGTAGACGTCAACCCCTGACTGACAGACGTACTAACTCAATCTAAGTCTCACAGAATCCTGACAGGGATCCTATCAACTATGGTCTCTAGCCTGGACCTACACTATGGCTGTCACTACTGAACCAATGGCTGATCAGGAGGCATTTAAGGAGATCCCCCGTAACTCCTCAAGAATTCTTTAACGTCGCAGACAGGACGACGTGATCAGCTTGGTTCTGCCTGTGCTTTCAGCCCACAACTCAGCCTTTCCAGCCTACTGTGCCACACCGAGCAGCCCGCCAGTCTGTACCGGTCCTTGGGAGGGTTCGTATCCCCCGGGACAGTCGAGTCGTCAGACACMGATCATCAGCCTTACTTGGTCTGGTAGGGGAGTGGTTCCAACAGGCCCTCAACACTTAAAGACGGCCTCCGTTTCAGCCTGCAGCTCAGAGTTCGGACCCTCTACATTGAAACTGAGTAGACCTGCCGGACAATACCGGTCATTGGGCTAGACGAGTTGTTTAACGAGCGCTCGCCGCTCATGCCCACGTCTCCAGATACCAGAGTAGAGATTAGTCCTACTAGGTCTCGTGCAGGTTTGGCAGCAAGGCCCTATCCTTCATCCACAGAGTTTTATGACCTAGGACAGAAGAGACTCAATGCAGAAAGCGTAGACAGACAGACTGTACTTAGCAAGTACCAAGGGGTATGTGCACATCCATAGGGCAAGGGGTAGGCTAAGGGCTTGGCGAGTTGTTACCAATTCCAGCTTGGTCAAAGTCTTGGTCAACGCCTTGGTCAACGCCCTTGGTCAACGCCGGTCAACACTGCTATAACCCTCGATCATCCTCGGTCAACTCCCCGGTCAGCTATGGCTGCCGGCACTTCTTCCTCGCCAATCCTCTTCTTCTTCCCTACCTCCCTC